AACATCCCTCCTGGCACAGTGGTTGATACAGTGATAACTCATCCGAAAGAGTTTGATTTCTATCTCTGTAGCCACTTAGGAGTAAAAGGCACGAGCAGGCCAACGCATTACCACATCCTATGGGACGAGAACGAGTTTACTTCAGACGAATTGCAGAGACTTGTGTATAACTTGTGTTACACTTTCGTGAGGTGCACGAAACCTATTTCGATTGTACCACCGGCTTATTATGCACACCTTGCTGCGTACAGAGGAAGGCTCTACATCGAGAGATCATCTGAATCTAATGGAGGATCCATGAATCCTTCTTCTGTCTCTCGAGTTGGTCCTCCAAAGACGATTCCTCTCCCTAAATTAAGTGATAATGTCAAGAATCTCATGTTTTACTGCTGATTCTTTAATAGTATAAAAGAATTGCTCTTGATAATGTTGTCTTTCAAAGTTCTTAATTTAAGTTCCTTGAGATAGAAGTCAACTTTAAAACAAAGAATCATCTAATATCATATAAATTATGTTTAATTTTGTATATATTCATCACATTATTTGTGAATTATCATAATACCAAAGCCACCATCAATTATTGAACCTAGAGTTCTTTTCATTTTCTTTCTATAAATCATAGTATGTCTTAAAGTAAAAGTTTTTTTTGTTGTTTTGTTTGTTTCTTCAGAATGCGTGAAGTTGATGTTAATCATTTGTGTTTCTACTAGGTTCACAACCACAAAACATTATGAATATCATCAGCTTTTTGTTTTATTTTCTTGTAACATTTCAATAATTTGGAAAGAGGAACATATCATCAACAATCAAAACTCCAACTATAGTAATTCAATCACATTTCAATATCACATCAAAGCCAAACTTTCAACCAAAACACTCGAAAACTAAAGAGTAGTTGATTACTTGTAGGGACTCCAAAGTTTCCAAATGTTAAATTCAAATTGTCATGATTTGAGAAAAAAAAGAGAGAAAAGAGAGAAAAGAGAGAAAAGGGGAAAAATTGAATAGTTTGCAACTTGGAAGAAAGTGTAGTTAATGAATTCTGCAGAGTGTTGCAGTTCACACACGAACCATTACATGTATACTATATGAATTTATTTATTTATTTTAAAAGATTTGAGTATAATAACGACGACACAGAGGACAAAAGACAGAATGAATGATTTGTTTAAATAACAATGAAAAAGAAAAAAGAGGAGAGAACAAAAAGAGGAGTCTGTGTTTTTGTGAGTTGTCAAAATATGAAAAGAGAAAGAAATAAAAAGAATATGAATTTGTGAAGTAATCTTTTGGTTTTCTTTTCATCTTTTCCAGTTCTCGGGAACCCAAATTCTCCAGAGAAGTGAGACAACCTGTACCAAAATTCTTTCTCTTTAAATAAAAAAAACCATTTTTGGTATTTATATATTGAAATTTATATATCTATAAACTATAGTACTCCCTATGTTTCCCTTAAATTTGATGTTTTAGGTTTTACACATAAATTAAAAAAAAGTAAATTTTATATTATTTAATTATTTATTTATTTGTTTAATAATTTTAGTTTCACTTCTCTCTTCTTCCTATTGGTTACAATTACAAAACATCAAACTTTGTGGAACAAGAAAAAATCCCAAAACATCAAACTATTAGGAACAGAAGCTAATTATATTTGCCTTTCAATATCTTTAAAGTAATTTTGCCAAAGTTAAGTTAAAAAAATTATGCTATGTTCCAATTGATTAGAAGTTATATGACCAATCTCGAATGAACTGTTTATGTGTTGTCAAATTGGTGTCTTTGTCTGTGCAGGGTTCGTTGACAAACGTCGATCTGTGTTATTATAACCATTTTGGATGCATTTGAACAGTTGATAACAAGGCTATAGCAGTATATACGGTAGCTTTTAGCCTCCATCAGTCCAACGTATTTAAATATTTTTACCTATATCTTCTCCATTTTCTAGGGTGTTTTATTATATGCGAAATAGGATCAAATACATTATATATTTTTTTTTTAAAATTTCCATATATTTGAAAACTATATTATATGTATGGATGACCAATGTGGTTAATAGTACAAACTAAAATGTTGTTTTTAAGTTTTCTTTTTCTTCGATTCTTCCTTCTTTTTTTTTACTTGCTTGAATCACTAAACTGTAAATTAATTTAATCCCGCAATTTTTATTAAAACAAAGCTGGAATTCGTTTTGTATATGTCATGGTCTAAACTTTTTAAATGAAAATTTTTATTGAATGTTTAATGAAATATACTTTAAAGTGACATGTTATCGATTTGCATTTGTTAAAATTCTTATATACTCTAGAAGACAAAAAAAGAAGTCTCATTAGTTTTGGAGATTCATAAAAACCAAGAAATAAGTAAGAAAATATTGGAGCCACATATAAAATATAGATTGATACTTTTTTTTGTGGCAGAGAAACAGAATCATTGCTTGCATGTCGTCAGTAAAAATATCCCATCAAACTAGATGATTATATTCAATCCCATCATGGTCTATGTCCAATACTTCACATTTGAGCCCAACGTTCAAAGAGGCCTAAGAGTGTTAGTCCAATGGGCCAATGGGCTGCAGATTATGCATTTTCTGTTATATTATAATTTTTTTTTAATAACATCTGGATTTGTATTGCGAGAATGACATGAAATAGAACAAAAGACACCTAAACATGCTTCAACTCTGAAAATAAACAAGAAATACAAGACAACACAATCCTTAACAGTGGTTAAAAGCCAAACACATGAGAACTATCTCATAAACTCAGTCCACTTATAAACATTTTCAAAGATTGTTCAACACACAAAACATATAACACCTTGCAGAGAAATGAACATTTTTCTATTGATTATTGACAAAATAAGACCAAAATACCAATGAACATGGGCCGTCACGACATGTGACAATCACAAAATGTAAAGAAAAAAAACTAAAAAAAGACGAAGCAGAAAGCCCATAAAAGAATGCTCAACTAAAAAATCTCCTTTCATATACATGACCTCTCAAATTAACTTCTGATCCAACTAACTCTTTTGATACTCTCCTTTGCATTATCTTAGATCCTCTAAGTTCTGAAACTTGAAGACAACTCTTAAAGCAGAGACAAATCTTGGGACACAATCTCTCCAGAAGCTTCCAAAGCTTCAACAGCTTCCATGCTATAAGACCGGCAACTAAAATAGAACACTGCACTCATCATTGTATCAATAAGCACTACAAATGAATACATCACCACAAGTAGTGGACCTTCCCATAACCTCGAAGACCCGTCTCCATAACTCAAACTCTTCACTCTATGCTCAAACAATCCTTCCACAAACGTTAATCCTATTGTTGATCCTAGAAATATCAATAAACCAACTTGAGTCTGCCCTTTGATCAAATCACTCGCTCTAACCAACGCTTGAGGCCCCGAAACATCTTCAAGAATCGAGATCACGATCGTGGTGTTGCAGATAATGATAGCATTTGCAAACACTACTGAGAACACCAAACCAACTAAGATAGCTCCATAAGCATTGAAATCAGGAGAGAATCCAAGAACATAAAAGGAGCTACAAACCGCGACAAGAAACACGCAGAAGGAAGTGAGACAAACAACAATCACCGTACAAATCCACAAGTAAGTGATCACAAGACGTTTCCATAGTCTCTGCATTATCACCAAGAACTTAGTTATCACAACTTTTTTCCTCGAATAAGTGCAATCCACAGAGTAAACCACAGCAGCTCTAGACAAGAGTGACAAAGTGATGAACAAAGGGAAACACATTGCAGAAGAAACAGCTGTCTCAGAGAATTTCTGACAAGAGTTTCTCACAAAAGGCAACAAAGGAAGACCACTGGATTTCGAAACTAAGAGAAGCCTCACTGTGAGTGAATTAACAACTGATTGATCAACTAAAAGGTTCGGTAACAGAATTGCGGAAACAGGACAGATCAAAAGAAGAGCGATTAACATGAAAGCACCAAGATTATACCGGAGAATTCGAACAGTTTCTCTCAAGATCTCAAGAGCATTCATCGAATGAAACTGATGATCAGAGGATGATGATGATGATGATGATGATTCTATCTCAAATTTCCGAAATTTTGATCCTCCTTGGTTCATCATCCCAGATAAACCCATTTCCATCATTGCTCTGTTTTCCAACGAAAAGGGTTCAGCTAAATACCATCAAATCGATGCAAAGTTTGGATTTTTCTGTTGTTTGAAGCAAACCCAGATAATGGGATTAGCTTTTCGTAATGATGAAGAGAGATTAGAGGGTTTGTTAGCGGCGCGTTTAAAGCATGAAAAGGCGTCACGAAAGCAATGACAAAATTTTGGAGAGCGTGAAGAAACAGAAATCACGCAGAAAGGGCTTGCAGATATCAACCGGGTCGACTGGAGAAAGGTGACGGTGATGAAATAGCGTGAGATTCGGTGTTAGTATCGGATCCGGGTCCGGGTTTGGGTTTAAGTTTGGGTCCGGGTCATAGCAGAATCAAGAAGGAAAGACGCGTAGATGAGAAAAGAGATGTTGCCATTTGGCGCAATGCTTTTTTTCTTTTATATTTTTGGTCTATTTCATATACGTATTATTTTGCTTCTATTTATTTGATAAACTATGCTGTGTTTTTTTTTTTTTTTTTTGTAAATTGTAATAGGTTAGGTTTTAATTTACACATCAATTTTTTTTTAAACTTTTTTAAGGTGAAAGTGCATATAGGCTGGATTTTTTTCTTTTTTTTTGGTCAAAGAAAAGAAAGCAATCTAATTTCCGCCTAAGTAAATTATTAATAGAAATAACACAATCTCTTATATTTGATTTATATATGCCAATTTCCCATGATTTTATTATGTAAAGGAATTAGAAATTGAATTTCTTTGGTGAGTTTACTTTTAAGTGTCGCAATCCCTAAAGGTTTTTAAAAGAATAAATAGTTAGATTAGTCGGTGGCTTAGTTGACTAAATAATACCAAATCCCCAAATTATCAACAAAATATTGAACTCAACACTTTCTTTGAATCACACAATTTGACATTTCTTCAGAAGAAACAAAGTTTTTTTTTTTTTTTTTTACCTAACAAACAAAGCAAAATAAGTTTTAGTAAACCCCTAAAAGATCATTCATCATGTTCAAATTGCTCAAAATAAAATCTTTAGAATTCACAAAAGTCTCTGGTGCTCTTCTCCTAAGAGCTCTTGGCAGGCACTGTAATAATATCTTCAAGATCCTCACAAATCGTTTATCTGAGAATGTTGACTTTTTCTTGATCGAATGCAGCAGCCGTAAATCAAAGAATGCCCCAAAGATTCTCAACCTTTAGAAGCCAAAACTATAGCGAGTGATGATTATGCTTCTCTCATCTTGATTTGTGGATGTTTCTAGAAGGAACCTGATCACTGTCTTCTCCACCAGATGCATCATAACCATCACTTGTAGACCTTGACAAAGGCATCATCATCATTGATAGTTGTTGTTGTTGTTGTTGTCCTCTCTGTTGACCCATCAGACCAACAGCTGAAGAAAACCCATTGAGCTGTGCTGCATCCTCTGCTTCAGACGAAACTCTAAACGGGTGAATGTCGTGCGAGTCTAAGCTGCTCTCAGGTGAAGATGTAACCATAACATTACCAGAACCTGACATTGCCCGGCTTGTCTGAAACGCGCTTCTTGCTTCTAGCTGAAGTGGAGCTAGCCCTGCACTTGTTGATGTCTCCATTGCTGCTTTTGTCTGAACATTCATCAGCGGTTCTAGAGGTAGTTCAGCTGGTAACCGTATGCGTTTAGATTGCCTTCGCTGCTTCCCGCTATTATTAACAGATTCAAATTTTGCTGGGAACATTCTACGGCCGCTGCTACCAAAGCTGCTGCTTGCTTCTAAGCCAACAAATGGATTTTCCCGTCTCGCCACAGGCTGGATTATTTTGGATTTCTTTCTTGCTTCTGCTGCTGCTTTTGAAACTTCTTCCGCATTGAGACGCGCTAGAGTCCATGGACTGATCTTCACAGGTTGGGGCTTCTTCTTGACGCGTTCCTCAACCACTGACTTCTTCCCATATGAACTTACAGAAGCATTCTCTGGAGGGACCACGTCAAACTGGACACAGAAATGCACACACATTAGAGCAAATCATAGTCAACAAGGTAGAAAAAACTGGTGAATAATGGTACCTGATCCTCAAGAAACAAACGCGGTGGTGTGCACCATGCCCCACGATGAAATGTATTGAAGGAGCTTGCACTGCTTAGTCCAGTAAATGAGCTGATCATTGACATTTGAGGACTCTGTTGACCACCTCCAGCTTCTAGCTCTTGCTCTTGCTCCCTAAGCGCAACTATGTAATCATATGTACTGATTCCCTGTTAAAGAAAATTCACTTTGGTAAATTGAATAGTTAAAGGGCAAGGATTGGCATGTCTGTGAGCATGGGAAACAACCTTCTTAATGAGAAGAATGTGGAAGAAGAAAAGCTGAGCAAGTGGTAACGTTGCCAGCATTGCTAATACAGTGCAGACACCCTGCAAGCAAAGGAAGAAACCTTCATATCTTGAATTCAGGAGAAGATAAAGGAAGATCAACCGTACAAGAAGATAACTTACAACGACTATAACAAATGGAATTAGCGAGAAGCTGCTTCCCAACTTCAGGGCAATGTCTGCATTAAATTGGTTTCTTCGGAGCAAACATAATACCAGCACAAAAATCCCAGTTGACCATTGCATAATGAGCTGCAATTTCAAACCACATGGGTAAAAACGATGTTTCTACCGGTTAATAATACACTAAACTTGATGAGAACTAACTCTTTGTTTCATCCACCAAGGAACAATTATTCAGAACATTTCGCGATCGGAAGATAGACAGAAGATATTTTTTGCAGGAAGTCGTGAAAGATCAACACAACCTTACCAAAAAAATAGCTGATACCATAAGGCTGAAGAATTTGCGGTAATTCCGCTTGCCAATGCAGTTGTTTAGCCACTACACAAGTCATACGCAAACAAAGATAAAATAATTAAAACAGAATGAAGGGTTTAAACGTTTAAGATAAATCATGAAATTTGTAAGCAAATCCTTTATATACCCTGCAGTGATGATCAAAACGGTCCACGCATTTGTCACAAACTCTGCAATGCTTGCTGTATTTGAAGACCTGCAAAAGGAATACAATAATTATTGAGAATATGTGATGCGTTCTTGATATGGAACCGTGAAACAAGAAAACTCCAAAGCTAATCACAAGAAATAATAAGACAAGCCTGTGTTTATAAATGTTCCACGCACCTCAACTTCACACAGACTGCAATAAAACATCCCATCCTCACTCATCTGCTCAGAAGATTCATCTCTTCCACCGCAACAACTACAGAGCAATGCACAAGGAGAGCAGAGCGAACGCAGGAGAGTAGATTTTTCTGATGACTCCAGTTTCTTGTTAGTTTCATTTTCAGGATCCTCTACACAAGTTCCATCACGAGATTTAGCACCGCCTGTAGCTGATCCACATCCATCTTTTATATCCTTTGATAGAGGAAATTTCCCATTTTCAGGAATTTTAAGGTACTTCTTTGATCGGAAAACTCCACGGTCTGCAGGATCTGAAGCCGCACACCATATATACAGTCCAACCACACACGTAATCTGAAAAAGAAGATGTCACTAACTCAAGCAGTCTTTAAGACGATACCAAACCATCCAAAAACAGGAAAAGTAAAACACAATTTTCAAAGACTTAAGGTGTACATTATCTCAAAGACTAAGGTCTCAAGTGCAGCTTCAAATCAAAGCAAAATGGATCAAGTTATAAAAGAAGAAATGGCAAATTCACAGATGGTGGAGATCAAAGTTTCAACCAAAGCCCCTAAAATTGGCTCGGAATCAAGACGTATCTAGAGCTAACTCGTCCATTTTCAGGAATCAATGAAAGCTTCTAATCTCTTAATGGGGACCAGATCAAGATCCAACTAAAAAACCAGGTAAATCTAATTTCCCTAATTAGCTATAAGTAACAAAAGAAATGTTAGATTGTGGAAGCAATGGTCTATGTACTCCAGGAAAAGATAAGAATTTTCCCAAAAAGAGAAAGACAACAAAGTAAAGACAACACATAAACGGCCAACAAGTAACACAATTTTGATCTTGAAACCCATTCAAAGTTTATTGAAAGCAGATTTGATTTCAAAACAAAGTAAGCTTACCAGAGGAGTGTAAATGCCCATCGCAATGTACTGATGAATCTTCTTCCCAACGAATGGAGCAAAGAAGACATAGAAAGCAAACCCTAAAGCCAAGAATACAGCAACAGCCACCACCTGACAAAAAACGATCAAATCTTTCACATCCAAAATCAAAACCCTCCAAAGAAATTTCAGGAAGAACAAAGGAAGAACCTGAAGAGGATGGTAAGGAAGTTCCCATCCATGTTTCCTCATATCTACTCTAAGAAGAATGCTGCAAAATCAGGATGTAGATCGAAGAGAATCAAGTCAAATAAACAGATAAAGTTGCCTCCTTTTCCCTCATATCTTCTTCAAAATTCCAACATTTTTGGTTTTTTCTTTCACGGACTCTTACTACTGTTGCCTCAGACCAAAGGAAAGAAGAGTAGAGAGGAAGACATTTGACCAGAGGGTGTGAAAAGTAATAAATACCAAGTAGAAACAAAAAGAAAAGTAGACTCTTTTTTTTGTTTGTGGTTTCTCTGATTCTCTCTGTATCTTCTGTGCAAAGCTTTGAGCTTTGGGCTTTGGGTGGTGCAGAGATCTACTAAAAGAAGAACCCACCACCATGGAAGAGAGAGAGAAGAGAAGAGAAAAGGAGTTATAATTAAGAGATGAAAAAGCAGTTACCTTTTTTCTATGGCCAAATCATGTGTCACAGTCCTGTTTTTAGAAGATTGATGTTCTAGAGTTTTCACATATATTAAAAAATCATCATTGTTTAATTATTTGCCAATTACTTTTTTATACTAAACATTTTTTAATAACTTTGAACCAATAGTATTAGAAAACAGTTAATCATTACATCTTGAAGTTTACGATATATTAATTTTAATCAATTAAAAATAAAACAAAAATCTAAAAAATCAAACTTTGTGGAACAAACTAAAACTCTAGAACATCAAATATCTAGGAACAGAGAGAGTATATCTTAAGAAATTAAATTATTAAAATAATATTAGAAGTGGTCCCACATAGAGAGAGAAAGAAACGCAAATTCTAGTTACCAAAACTGAAAAATGAAACCCTTCTACTCAGGGTTTGCCATGTAGAGCAAGATCACTCTAAGACCTGATATTGCGGAAGATCTCTCCCCAGTGTTCTAACACACTATTCACATTATTTACAATTTTTTTAATTCTTAGACCATCTTATGTGTTCTTCCGTTAAATATGGTGTTAAATATGGTCTTATGGTCTCTCGATTATCAGAAAATGGACTTTAGGTAAGAAAAAAAAAAAGATAAAAACCTTTTTTTGTGTAATTGGTTTGCGTTTCAGATACCTTTTTCTTGCTATTTCTCATTAAAAAGGGTCATTTGGATCGAAAGCCAATGTCTTACATTATATGTCTTTTGTGTATTATATAAAGTTTTTAAATACATTGGTTTTTTTTTTTTAAGGGAAGTGGAATTGTTTTGGCTGTCTTCGTTGAACTGATTTGAGAAATTCGTATAAACAAGTATCGATTCTTCTGACACAACACCATGAAAGTAACGGCCGAAGCCAATGCAATGTTTGATAAATTTGTTTTTTGCAAATAAAGTTATATACATGTTAAATTTCGATTGCTTATGTTATTTGTACTTTTTCTCTCTAAACTTGGCAAAAAAAGAAAAAAACCCATTCGTACACATTTTAATTTTGCAAAATCACAAAAAGAAAAAAAAAATGCGTGAAGGGAAAATAATAGATTAAAATATAATTTAATGTGTGAGCTGAAATTCTATTTGAATATTTTCCGTTAAACTAAAAAATAATTTAAAAATTCAATAAGATCATTAAAAAAGGGACAAAAGGTGTGTGGGTGAAGGAGTAAATGTGAAGCATTAAATTCGAAGGACCTCTTTATGTATGTCGTTTTCCTTGTTCATATTCTTCTTTTTTCTTGGTATAAGAGATTGGAATTTAATAGTTTTATTGGTATTGATAAATGAAGAAAACCGATGAGGTTGAGACAAGCATTCTTATAAAAATCCTAAAAACGTAATAGGGTTTCTTTGAGTACTAATACTACGAATAATTTTAAATTAAGAATGCTACTCCCGGTGAATACGGATGATCGTTTATCGAGATATCCGGTCGCAACTAACGTTGAACGATTCCGATGAATATATAATAATATACCATTTTCAAAGAAACCATAGTTTATGATTTGTTATCTTAAATTACTACTAAAAGTTTAAAATATCACAAGCTACAGGTTTTATAAAGAATTTTTGAAATTATGTAAAATATGATAATTTTTTAGAAAACTCTTCTAAACTTATAACTTGTGATATTTTAAAACCTCCACAGCCCACACACACATACATCCAAGTCCAACAAACAGAATAGAAAAAAGTAAGTATTAATGTTTAGTTAATTATGCATATATTTATAGATATGCACCAATAAAGAGTCTTGCTCAAGACTCAAGTATGAATTATGCCAAGCTAAAAATGCTAAAATCCTCAAAATACCGAAAGATATTTCTCCAATTCACAATTCAAACCATAGCGTTTCGGTAACAAACATGTCTTCATAAAAAAAAACAAAAAACAAAACAAACATGTCTTCGATATCACCACCGTACGTAATGAAAAGAAGTCAAAACGAGGTAGCAACAAAAGTCAATATAAACAAAAAAGATAGGACAATATTAACAGCTTTTGGGCAGGACAAACTCAATACTCCTTCCGTTTCAATTTAGTTGTCGTTTTAAGATTTAAATTTCGTTTCATAATAGTTGTCGTTTTAGGTTTTCAATACAAATGTTTGATGAAAATTCTAGTTTTATCCCTACTGTTTTAATGTTTTGACCAATGAAATTTTTTATAAAATATATTAATAAAGGGTAAAACATAAAATTTAATGTTTTTCTTAATTTGTGTGAAAAAACCCTGAACGACAACTAAAACAAAACGGATGGAGTATTAAATTTGATAATGAACTGTAATTTTGATTAAATTTTGAAGGATGAAGGATATATATGAAATGATCCAAATCCAAACCAAGAAATACAATACAACAAAATGGTAGATGGGGACATAGAGAGAGAGCGACTTTGTTCTCATTTGCTTGGTTCTTTTCTTTCAGGCACGTGCCCCTCTCTGTCTCTCTACCCATACCCGTGACTCACTATACCCTTGTTTCTATTTCTAATTTTAGTTTTTGTAGCTTTCACTTATATGTTTGACCAGGGCCGGCCCAAGGCTAAAGCCCGTAAAGCATGGGCTTTAGGCAGCAAATGTCTATAAAAGAATTTTGGGGCATCATTTATCAGAAATTTATTGTGGTAAAGTGGTTAACACCTCCTTTTTCTCAACATAGTTGCCGAGTTCAAACCCTCCTAGTGTAATTCGTTTATAATTTTTTTTAACTATGTTTAATGATGGACAAATTTTTTTTTTTGCTTTAGGCATCAATTTACCTTGGGCCGGGCCTGTGTTTGACCTATAAAAAGTTTTCATTTATACTATAAAAACTTATTCCCCAACAAAATAAATGTAAAATAGTAAAGTTTATGGACACAGAAGTTATGATACTTAAATTTTATAAATTGTGAGGCTGTGAATTGTGTCAACTGTGGGTAATGGAAGCAATTTTAAGATGTGGGGGCAATTACTACTTGATTGGTTATGAAGAAAAGAATTTGAGTACTTTGCTTTTTATGTTTCATTTCTTTTACACTTGACTAATTTTAGTTAGTGTGCTGTAAAATCAAAAGGTAATCATCAATGGAAAAACGCAATGGGGTTCAATAGTAGACTCAACTTCTTACACCAAATTTCAAGTTCAATATCTATTGAATGTAATTTTTTTTGTCAATTGTTCATGTAGGCAGGCAGGCCCACTCCATACCATAACCAAGTAAAACTATGAAATTGGCCCTTAAATATATGAAATCAGATTGTTGAAGTCTTTTCTATTAGCATTTGAACAGTCAGCGACAACTTACTCAAAGAGAGCACTTGGATCACAAGTATTGACATGTATCCACAATCAAAATGACTTTATCCTTTAGGATCTAAGAAAATGACATAAGTAGAGGTTTGGAACTGTCAAGAGTAGCTTCTCCACAAACCAAAACCAATAGTAAGATAGATAAAATAGTGTCTTGCATGGAAACACATATGGGCTTTAAATTATACTAAGAAGAATAAAAAAAAGACCAAACTTTGTTCTTAAAACATTTGACTCTGTCAAACTGATGATACATAGCCTCTGTAAAAGAGAATGCTTACTTATTATTACTTGGGACCAACTTCCTTGAGAGCACACATCTGTTCCTCTCCCATTGCAGACATGACAGACACAACTATATCCTTGCCCTCATCAAATCCATTCTTGAGCTGTGTGAGCAAAGCTTCATCAGTTGGCAGCTTCAGATCATCCTTAGTACTACCATTATCAGTAAGAAGACTAACCTGTAAATGTAATCAAAGAACAAAATTAAAAAAAAACCCGTCTAGTTTAAGCATATGGGGCAAAGACAAAACACACAACTAAACTAATGAAAAAGATTGTCACATACAAAGCCATCTTCAGAGATATCAATCAACTGGTAATCAACACGATTCACATGTGGAACCTGCCAAGAAAAGGAAACAGATTGTGTTGTGAGTCAACGTTACAGACTTTGAATATGTTTATATCCACTCACAAAACTCACATCACAATTGTGGGAAGAAGGAACGATATCTTCAAGCTTCTTAGAAGTGAAGATATCAATGGCAACAAAGTGACATTTGGCGTGACCATGCTTCCCAGTCTTTGAAGTTGATACCTCAACCACCTATATTATAAACCAAACAAACCAAAGTTTCAACTTTTAAGAAACCCGTTGAATTAAGCAATTCCAAAATCAACTTAAACTAGAATTAAGTTGAATTAAGCAAATTCAAACCCTATAAGCCATATTTTCCAAAACAGAGATCTTTATCAACACTAAACAACAGAACACAATCCAGATAACTAAACCTCGAAAATCACAACGATCAGGTAACGGAACACTGCCTAATACAATCCAGGAAGATGAATCAAATTGGAGACAAACCTTGCAGGGACGTCCCTTGATAACGATGTGACCACCTTTACGGATGTTACCGGCTTGTTGAGGATAAGTCTTCGAAGCTCCGGCGTCGCTGGATTCGAAGTGGTGCTCGTCGTCCGACATGGTTGAATCGAAATTGAGATTTTCAGAGAAAGTGTTGTTCTTGCGAAGTCAGCGAAGTGGAGTTTCAGTTTTTTTTTATAGAACACTGAAGAAAGCGAAAAAGAGAGAGAGAGATGTAGGGTTACGTATTCACATTTGTCTTTCTCAGCCGTTGGATTTAGAGATTCTTAATCTAAATCAACGGTTTAGATTTATTTGACGTGTCGTGTCATTTGCACGCGACCCTACACGTGCGGCTTCAATAAATAAATAAAAGTCAGATCGTAAATATTACGCGACTTGTGAGATTCTCTATTTAATTCAATCTTAAATAATTTAAAGTCAAGCATATAGTTGACTAAAAGTCAAAACTAAGTTAAGAGGACTTGAGAGATACAATCATTGCATGTTGAAGTCAGTTCTGAGAAGAACTAACTTGTCAAGCTATAAACGTGCAACCAAAAAACACATAAACAAAAAATAGATAGATACAATACAAGTAGACACTGAGATTCAAGAAGCTAGCAAATCTTTCAGAATCTTTGTATGAACACTTGAGGAGCTTCTTCTTCACTGCAAAACATTTAGGAGATATATCGATGATACAAGTGTTTTTGTTATGTATTGTGAGAGTGTGATGATGAAACGAAACGAGAAGAGTGTGGGACTTACTTCTCTTTAGCTTCTTGGTAAGTGTGGCTTGATGTAATCGCCAAGAGTTCTCCAGTGTGGTTAAATGCTAAAGACGCAATGCTATTTGAGTACCTTGGCAACTTTTTTTTAAACAAAACACAAAGATTAGAGAGGATAACAAGAGAACAAGTCATGTTTGTAAGGTTTGAAACCTCAAAGAGTCTTCTTCTGCTTTTAGCATTCCATGAGATCACGTAGCCTTCATTGTCTCCTGTTACGAAAGTCCCTGACCCACTGTGGCAACAAGAAGAGAGTCAGTTTGATGATCAATCATGTGTATAATTAGATGGTGAATGAGGGAAACATACCATGGACTGAATTCGATTGCATTTATGCATACACCATCGAGTCTGCCGTTCCTACACTTGGGATGGCATCGGAAACTGTATCTGTCACGAATTTATGATACAAAATACAAAACATTTAGAGAAAAGATTGAATCCAAACCAGTAGATAACCAAATGATCATTTTGTATATTTCAACTTTCACATTCTGGACTTACTTTATCTCATTGGAGCACGACGTATCCGAGAAATCTACGGCTACTTGTCCATCAACTGACCCAACTGCATATCCTGCTCAATAGCAACAATAAACATGTTAGAAACCAAACAAAACATAAACCCTGATCAATGTAAAACATCAATCTTTCCTCAGTGGAAATGTAAACTATGGCCACATACATAACCCCAAAATCACAGATTCTTGTAACCATATATGTTTACCTCTGGAATAAGGTACAGAGGTGATACAACTGATTGGCACCTCCACTTGGGATGCATACGATTGAAAAGCTTCATCTAAGTTACGTAAATCGTATATATGCATCGATGCGTCCACACAAACAACTAAGTTGTTGCCAGATACAGTGATACAACCCACTGCTGCACCAGCATCAGTCGAAAACACAAGACTTTCTCTTTTTCTTGTATCCCAGAATTTGATCTTCTCATCAAACCCAGTAGATATAACTTCACCTGAGCCGCATCAAACCACTTGCAGTTTAGTATAAGACAGTTTATATAACGTTACCAAAGTCTTTGATTCAAAACTCAAAACCTGAAACAAAAATCTTCTGAAACAAAGAGATGTGCATTTACTCTCACAAATGACGAAAGAACCTATTTGAACTTAGTAGCAGCGCAAACGTACTTGTAATCTATATCATTTCGATATCCAACAGAGCAAATTAGCCAATTTTCTTTTGTTCAGCATACAAATGCTTAAGGACATCTCTTTGTCTGTCAATATCTTAGAATCTACTGATCAAATTGACAACAATTAAGCACTAATTGCACCAACAGAATCCTGGTAAAATACAGATACCAAATCACACTATTCAACATATCTAAAAACAATCATCACTACTTACTTAAAGTGTAAAAATCTGACCTTTTTCATAAGAGTAGACAATGGATGTTGCAATGTCGTCATGTCTTCCAATTGTATCAACTGTTCCAGCGTTTAAATCATACCTGAATCATGGGGTTCCATAAAAGATCAGATCTTTTTCATGAAAAGGTAATAAATTTGCTGTTTTTCATACAATGCAAAAGCATCCCATTTTAAAAATGTTGGTTAAGAAAACTGCAAACCTTCGGATGAATCCATCGGAACCAGAGGTAAATGAAGTTGATTCATTCTCGAAACAACAATCAAGAAGAGCAGCTTGAGAGTACAATTCCAGACTTAGCGAAGAGCTCTCCACATTATACAATCTCAGATACTACACAAGCAAGCAACAACAACAAAATTTCGTCAACTGTCTCTAAGATTCGAGAAAAAGGAAGAGAAGAGAAGTAACAACTCACAGAATCCCAAGAAGCAACGAGGAGATTGTTTGATTCAGGGGAGAATCTGAGTCTCGAAACCGCATCTTCTATAGGGTTTTCAAATTGAAGTCGATCTCCGCTCATGTTTTTCAACCCAGAAACCACTTCCTCAAGAAATTATGGAGAAGAACGTATCTCAAATCAAACGCCACTCTAGATAGATGAAGAAGAAGACTATCCCAAATTTTCGAATTCCAAATTTCAAATTTCTAGACAAGAGCGAGTGATGAACCTGAGCGATTTCAAAATTCACAAACGGGTTAATGGGCTTATGGCCCAATATCTATTGTCCATACTACTTTGAATGTTTGTAGTGGTAGATGTTATATCCGGATTTTTGGTTCGTTTTCGGTTTGCGTTCTCGGGTTTTCAGTTTATGATGATGAGTTTTATATATGTTTTTTTTTTTACTTTCGTTCGGATTCAAGTTTTAGTCAATTATATATCTTATTTTTTTTAAAAGTTTCGGTTTTAGATTTTTTTTGTTTGGTTTGATTTCGGTTTTACGGAAATAAAACAAGTGAATCCATTTATTATGATATTTTCGGATTTTGAATCGATAATTTCAGTTCGGTGGAGATTGATTTATATAAAATTAAACACTTTTAGTTCATAGACCGTTTTAATTTTTAATGGACGGTATTACACCATATTTTGGTTGGGTTTAACATATTTAGTATGTGGTTAAAAGTTTTAATTGAATTGGTTGCATGGATAGGAAAATACTTTTTGTTTTTCTTGAATATTTTGGTGGGTTTGGTTGAGTGAGATATGACATTTTCTTGCTTTACTTATATTATGTGTTGTACTTGACTATACTTGTGTAAAAACAGGATTGGATTTGGTTTAATCCATTCTCTAGTAGAGTTTATGAATTTGCGGCAGAAGCTATTGTAGATATTCAACTATCTTGTAATGGATGTTTCCGTATTATTGTTATTGTCCTGTAACTGTAAACAATAAATGACTACTTCGCTGTGTGATTAGAGTTGTTTTTGGATTCAAACAAATTTAGAGCAAATGACTTTTTGTTTTTTGTTTTATTTAAAAGCGGAGAAATGTAAGAAAGGGTAAAAATGGGATTAGTAAAACAAAATAATAGCATTGGACTATGAGTTTCATGTTCTAGGATGATGCTTAATTCAATCTCTTGCATCATTGAAGAACCCTTCACAAAGTAGCATTAAAAGAAGAAGAACAATCCAAAATATCAAGAGAAGAATTTTTATCACAAAAAACTATAAGTAAATGCAATAGAAAAAAAACTTTAAAACTAAAATTTACTTAATTAAAAATAAAAATATTCACTTTGGTTTCCAAGTGTTCCACTCAATCCGATATTTTCCGCTCAGAGCGTGAATTTTAAAACTCATGAATTTGTAACAAATAAATACGATAAAATAATAAGAAGATAGAATATAATATCATAGTTTTATACAACCTAAAACATATCATAATCCATTACTTATTGTCAATTAAGTTTCAAAAGACAGCTGACAAAAAAAAAAAAAAGTTTCAAAAGACCACTACATAAAAGAGTAAAAAAAGTTTCAAAAGACCACTACATTATCGATTTTAATTATGTAATATTACTAAATCCATTATAGATTCGATTTTACATAAGGATTTAGTCTAAAACAACTTAGAACAAAGAAGAATTTACTTACATCTGACCAAGGGAGAGAGTAATTTTTCCTGACGCATAAGCTTTAATAAAAACTTGCTTCTCCTTTTTGCTTGATAACCCTCACTGTCAAACATTTTGTCCTTACGTAGATTTGAGATCATTCTTAACTTTATGAGTTTTTGGTTTTTGTTTTGATTAAAAGCTAAGAAATGCAAGAAAGAGTAAAAATGGAATTAGTAAAACAAAATAATAGCATTGGACTATTATGAGTTTGACTATCATGAGGAATAAATTAACAATCATTCAATAATGCAAGAGATTGAATTAAGCATCATCCTAGAACATAAAACTCATAGATATGACTAATCCATTTCTGTGACACTTATCACTTCACTAATCACCTAATTTTCATAAATTTACATTTTCGATTAGATGGTTAATGAGCATTACAAACAAGCCCAATTAGGTCACTAAACACCTATTCGTCAAATTTTGTTGGTTAGGCATGAAAAACTCATAAAATTTTTGGTTCAAGCATTTCATCGAACATCTTCCGCACAAGAAATGCTTAAGCTCTAGATTTTTGGTGATCAAGCCAAAACTATCATTAAGATCAATCTAAATGAAGGATTTAACAATAGCAACCTAAATCAACATCATCATCATCTAACTATTAAATCATCATAATCTAGCATTACTAATGATCTAACAAAAGACTACTCACTAAACATGATAAAAGATAAAAGAAAATTGTGTAAAAATTAGAAGAAGATAAAATATAAGGTTGAAGAATCCTTCAAAAATATCAAGAGAAGAATTTTAATCACAAAAAAAACTATAACAAAATGCAATAGAAAAAGAACTTTTAAAATTAAAATTTACTTAATTAAAAATTGAAAATATTCAATTTGGTTTGGATCAATTTATCATTCACCATATTTTGATTTGAGTTTAACGTATCTTTAGTTTGTGGTTAAAGTTTTGCAATTGAATATGATTAACTTCACAGAATGTGAAACTAATATAGGTTCTTGTAATGGCCGATTAACTCGTGTCAAAAACAGTAAAAGAACTTTTAAGAAAAGAGAAGTTGCATATATATATACATGGGGAGTGTCAAGAAACTGTCTTTGTTCCTTCCAGACTAAACTTGAAGAACATCAACACCAAACAGACAAGATACTATCCAGAAAATAAATATAAGACTGTGCCTTCTCATTACTCTGGAACATAAAAATCGAACTTGACATCGACAGAACCATCACGAGTATCTTTGTATTCCACATTGGTTATGGTTCCAGCCTCGTCCACGTCTTGGTACTCTGGTTTCACCCTCCTAACAGGCACCGTGACCGAGTAAATGGTCCCAAGGTCACTGTCCGTGGAAACGTTTAGCTGAACTTTTTCCTCTGATTCTATCTCTACGAAATCCGACAGTGCGTGGATAATGTTGTTGACGATTTTCCTTTTAGCTTCATCACTAACATCACACCTGTCCGAGAATAAGATCATCTTGAGCCGCTGCTTTGCGATTCTTGCGTTGGAGCTTCTTCTTGATGCGTGAGATGGAAAAATTATCTTCCAAGCCAAGTTTAACCTGTCAAAGAAACCCATGTTGATAGCATTATAGAGAAAGCTCTCTATCTCTTGCTCAGCTGGGCTTGGTGATAGTTCATAGTCTCCAGTGTTTCTTGCAAGAACCTTCACATGACCACATGTGTTTTCGCGGCTGATCGCCAGTCCAGGAGTACATTTCTGAGTTTCCAAATTGTTTGCACCATTGCTTACGAATACCGTGAAATCAACCTGCAAATTTACACATCCATCACCCGCAAAAAGAGACGGTAATATCAGACTAGTAGCATTTGACAATTCAGTTACTGTAGTACATCTATAGGTAAAGAAACTGTAACACCAAGCTCATCTAAACTTAATGAAATGGTTAAGTAACAAAAGTTGCAAAACATCAGGTCACAGCACCACAAACAGCTGCATATATCTAACAGAAGACCGGTCTAGTCTCAGTAATCCAAGGCACCACCTCTATAAGAAAATATCTACTCTCTTTGTAGCTCAAAAACACAACAAAATTACAAAAACAAAGGATGGTCATGGAGATGGAGTCGCTGGTGTTCCTAAAAACTAGAGACTGGTCAAGTTTTGTTACCAACAGAAGTGAACTAAAATCCTTCACTTCCAAGTGCCTAAGTAAAAAACAGAAACTAGAATGATAAACTTTCAAGAGCTCGGCGATGAACAATCAAATCTAGAGCTAGAAGAAACATGTGAAATTGTTCCACTAAAAGACGCATTTCAGATTCTTCCTAAACCACACAGACATAGAAACGCAAGATCGAAGCTAGTAATCTAATTTCTCCTCACAAATTAAACGAAATCGGGAGATTGGGTGGCGAATTTCATGAAACCCAGATCCCAAATTGCGGTGAAGAGAAAGTTTGAATCGTAGAGTAAGAATTATAAGAAAATCGGACCTTGGAAGAAGAAGAAGGAAATGAGAGGCGATTAGGGTGGTGGTGATGATAAGGAGATACTAAGGTGGCAGAGATCCTGAGAGTTCCAGAAGACATCGCCATTACCGAGAAAGTTGAATTTGTTCGCCGGAGAAGCGAATCTTTTTCGTCTCAGTTAAAAAGAGAGATGAGATTACGACGACTCTTCCAAAGTAAAAGGCTATCGAGCAATTTAATAAACGCTGTCGTTTAAACTCTTGAAACGCAGCGTTGAACAACGGCCTAACGGTGTCGTTTCGTCAATTTTAATATTTAACCCAAAAAAAAGAAATTTTGGTCTAATGTGCATATACGGTAAACTTACAGCCACAAAACATTTGTCTTTCTAAATGTGTCATAATGTGGACAAGACTTTGAAACAAAAAATTTTGGTAGACAAGTATTGTGCACCTTTGAACAACGGATTGGGAAGATATTTGGTGGACAAAAAATCTTGTCCACCTTTGAAACAACAGATTTTTAGTGTACAAGAATTCGAAACGACATATAAAAATTTTGGTTGACAAGAAATGTTGTCCACCATTATGCCACATTTGGAAAGATTTATGTTTTGTGGCAATTTTGCTAAGTTTTTGAACAGTAAGTGGCACATTAGTTAGATTTAACCCTTGTTTGAAAAATCGCTAGGCGCTAGTCGGGCGCTCAGTATGGGCCTAGCGATTAATCGGAAAATCGGATTAAAATCGGATTAAAATCGGAGATTAATCGGGGAATAGTTTTAGGATTATTTTAATTTTTTAAAACATATTAATCTTATATTGTTTTCAAAATTGCAGTAAATATATAAAAATATATTTTGAGATAAATTTTTATGATTGTTATTAAAAATTTATGATTTTTATTAAAATTTGAATATAAGTTATTGTAAAACATCACAAATCCCAATTCAAATTATTGAATAACAAAAATAAAAAGTTTTTTTTTTATACTTGGAATCTGAAAATAATTGGAATATGTAAGATTAGGCGGGGAGTAATCGGATTAGGCGGCAAGTAATCGGATTACTGATTTCTTTAGGGGATTAGTCATTAATGGAGACGGATAGGGTGGGCCTGCGATTAAGCGGAGAGTAATTGGGTTAGGCGGGGATTTTTAGAACAGGGGATTTAACCCTATACTGAGATCAATGCGATCTTTTTTATTTTATTTTTTCATCTATCAATGTGATCTATAAGCAGAATGTACACTTTTATAAAAGAAAAAACAGATTATTGTTAAAGTGGTAATAACCACAAAGAAGTAATTTTTTTTTTTTTTGATAACTCAGGTGATCCTAAAAGCTTTTTAGGCCACAAGACTAATCCTCAGACCCAAAGAAGTAGTTTTTAGATTTGATGGATTCTAAGTGGATGATTGGTTGAGGTGTAGCTGTAGAATTTTTGCTGTAGAGTTTCTATTGTATCTGTGTTGGCTGTAGCTGTAGTTTTTTTATCTGTAGGTATTATAATAGTAAAGGTAAAACCTGATTGGTAAAACTAATTCAATAGTATATATTGAAATTTGAAGTATATGAATTTAAAAAATTTGCAATATATTACATACGATAACAGATGAACATATAATAAATAGCAAGTTTCATATATAAATAATACATTATACAATTTTTGGTGAAAATATATATTATACTATATAATTTATAATAATGAAATGAAATATATATATATATATATATATATAATTTTCTGTCACTTAAGTAAAAATATTGTCAATAGATTATTTTTTCTTATTCTTAGAGTATCATGTACTAATATGCAGTAAAAAAAATAATCATTAAATATAGGAAAAAAAAATGTCTACAGCTTTTAAAGCACACAAAAATATGCGGTAGAAATTTTAAGAGTTACAACAAAAAAACTAAAAAAAAGTTGTTTTGGGTTGTGAGATTTTCTAGAAAAGCTAAAGCTTGATTGGTTAAATATTAAGGCTTTAAGTTTTTTTTGAGCTGTACTATAAAGATACAGCTCAACCAATCACACCCTAAAATTTGTTCTTTGAGGTTCACAATCTACAATAAATCCACAAAAATGACTATTTGCGAGTTGTTGTGCTTTACCAATACCAATAATATGATCTTTTGATAAAAATATGCCAATTATTACAAGTAAATCGCATTGTTCTCGAAAATGTCATTCAAACCCTAGAGAACTTCCCATAACCTCAAAAACCAAGGCTGCAAGATATTCTAACTCATTTTACCAAAAAAGATAGGGTTTTTCTTTTGAGAAATTGTTAAAAATGCCCCTTTTTCAATACCCCTTTTCAAAAATGCCCTCTTTGAGAGTTCATTTTTAAGTTTGCCCTCTTTTAATTTTTAATGACTATTTTACCCTTATTTGAAACAAAATTAGGTCCACAAAATACAAAATATTTTTTGGCGGGAAAAGTGATCCCGCAATTTTCTCGCCAAAACACTTGTAAAAACCTTTAAAAAACCTTGTAAAATTTTCCCGTAAAAATTTTTCCCGCCAAAAATTTTTTTTTGCGGGAAAAGTGATTCCGCAATTTTTTTTGCGAAATTTTTTTGGCGGGAAAATTTTTGGCGGGAAAAATTTACAAGGTATTTTAAAGGTTTTTTACAAGGTATTTACAAGTGTTTTGTAAGGTTTTACAATGTATTTTAAAAGGT